TCCCTCCCTCCCTCCCTCCCTCCCTTCCTTCCTTCCTTCCTTCCTTCCTTCCTTCCTTCTTTTTAATTTTTTGAGACAGGGTCTCACTCTGTCACTCTGGCTGTCCTGGAACTCACTCTGTAGACTAGGCGGGACTTGAACATACACACAGAGATCTACCTGTCTTTGCCTCCCAAGTGCTGGGACTAAAGGCGGGTGCCATCACTACCTGGTTAGAGTAGGCGTTTCTAAGAAGGAATCCAAAGCAAGAGGCCGCCATCCCCCCACCCACTACCCACGAGACAGAGTACAGTGTACCTGCGTGCATGTATGTGTGCATGATACACTATATATATTCCCTTCAATATTTTAAGAGCTGTCTTTCTCACACCTAATTTATAGTGAAGCTTTTGTGTATGTGTTCAATTCAATTTAATGAGTCTTTTCAAAGCACTCAAATTGGTTTTCATGGAAACCATTATATTTTTTTCTATCAATGCTCTGAGTTAATCAGCCACACAATTATCATAATAAAAACACTGCTGGTATAAACAGGCATGGGTAACAACCAGAGCTGATCCTTGGCAAGCTCACAACTCCAACTGGTAGTCGTGAGCAGGGATGGCAGGGAGCAGACTGGCTGAGGAATTTCTTTATTCTGTGGACATTGTGGGTGAGTAATTTTATAGACAGGAGACGTAAGCTTAGAGAGGCAGCTAAGTGTTAGCCGATGAAGAAAGGTTCTCCTGTACACGTACGTACTCCAGACATATTGCCACCCCAGCCCTCCAGAATCCTACTGTTCGGGTGGAAGCTCCACCTCATCCCCCTCCCTCCTCTCTCTCTCTCTCTCTCTCTCTCTCTCTCTCTCTCTCTCTCTCTCTCTCTCTCTCTCATCCCGAATCCTGCTCCATCTTAGAAGGCCTGCTAAACATGGCTCCTGCCCCAGAGATGTTCAAGACCATTCCTACAGGGTATTTAAACTGTCCCCCAGAGAACAGGCACATGGTTTTTTGGTCTCTTCTCCCTGACTCCTCTCTGGGGGCCAGAAAATCATCCAGGAGCATTTTACTCCTTAAACCCGGACTTTTTCTTAATTCAGTTTGAGTCCCTCTGATCTGAATAGTCAGTGGAGAGGCTTGATATTGGGGCATGGAAACTTTTCACCTACAACCCTTTGAGAGCATGCCCTAGAAATATAACCTCCACAAGCCTTACCTACCACACACTGGTCTCTGCCCTAAATCATTGTTTAGAACTAAGGATTTCGTCACTCTCCCAGGTCACCTGAACTGAGGACCTAACCCACAATCAGTTGCCCACGTCTTGGGATCATTCTGGAAAAGAAAAGTCAGGTCAGTTGGAATCCTCTAGCACAGAATTATCCCTGAGAAATAAAGACATTCAACAGGTTGGTGATGAGCTTTTATTTATTTTTATTTTTTTATTTTTTATTTTTTTGGTTTTTCGAGACAGGGTTTCTCTGTGTAGCTTTGCGCCTTTCCTGGAACTCACTCTGTAGCCTAGGCTAGCCTCAAACTCACAGAGATCCGCCTGCCTCTGCCTCCCGAGTGCTGGGATTAAAGGCGTGTGCCACTGCCCAGCGGTGATGAGCTCTTGAATGGAGACTGTAATGTAAGATTTGAGCAGGTGATTGGGGCCAATCGGATTCAAAGAATGGAAGTAGGTAGTTGGAGCAGGCCAAGAACAACAGACATGTAGATGTGATGGCTATGTAAAAAAGCCTGGCAGCCTGGGGTGATCATGTTTTGAATCATACGATTCTCCCAGCCTGGTTACAAGTGATTGGTTACAAATGGAAACCTCTTCCAACATTAGCCAATCTACAGGTGGGTCCATGATGAGTGGTCTACCGTTTGCCTTCAACAGTTGGTCTGTACAAAGAGGGGGCTCAGTAGTCAAAGCAAATGTGGAAAGAGGTAGAACTATGTGATAGAAATCGAAGTAAAACCCCGGAGACACAAAAGTTGGGGCTGACGAATTCATGATGGTCTGTCCATGAGAAAAGCTGTGAGGGATGCAGCCGCTGAGGTGAAGCAAGCACAGGGCTGGCTGGGCAGAGACTGAGGTACCGAGAGACAATTTGCACTGTGTGTGAGACCAAAATGAGCCATCTTAGAAATAAGACCAAAATGCTTTCACCCAAAAACTAAGGCCTAAGATTTCTCCTTCTAGGAAGAGGCAAGTAGTTACTAAAACAAGTCAGTCCAGATTCCAGAAACCAGGAAATTAAAAGTCACAAGGTAGTCACGGGGGAATGACTGCCGGACTATAGAATGTTCCAACCCTGGTTCCAGGGTAACTGACCATAAAAGTGTCCCCACCTGAGGGCAGCCAATGAGAAATGGTGGCAGATAACAGCTCCCTTAGAAGTAAGATTAAGCCATGATTTCTAGAAAGCCCCTAGAAGCGAGCCAGTCAGAATTGTACCCATATTAGCACCCCTAAAAGAGGTAACCTTGTGATTTTTCCCTTTAAAAACTGAGCTTGCAGATAGGCGGGCACTTCCTCCAGCCTCCACTGCGTTGGATGTATTGGACGAAGTCCCTGCCTAGGCTTGTATTGCTTTTGGATATCCAGAATTAAACCTTGCTTTTGCATTCCGACATGCTGGTCTTTGGTGGTCTCTCTGGGGGTCACGATCTGGGCACAACACTGTGTACAGAAGCCTCTGGGAGTCAGGCAGCTGCTGTCTCCTATCTGCTCTGGTCTTAGGTCAGTTGTGACTCTTCCATAGTCAAAACGGACTCCCCTAAGTCCCTCCTTGTTCTTGGGGGACTTGTATTTCTTTCCGAATCATTGGCATTTCTATGTCTTGCTCTGGTTTCTCTTTTATTTCTGTTCTCATCTCATTTTCTATCACTTTCCCCACTCCTTCTAGCCCCCACTGTTACTCAGGGTGTTCAACATGCTCGCTGACTGTCTTCTATGGCTTTCAGAGACCCTGCTCTGCCTGTGTGCTGCTGTCCCGGGCGGGGAGGGGGGCGGGAAGAGCTAGCCGCCATTTGTCGTCCGACTTCTGTAACCTTCAAGGTTTGCATCTTCCCAGAGTGAACCACTGCTCACTCCCAAAGGCCTTTTGGGGGGTATTTTGGTTTGCAGTTTTTCTGAATAGAGAGCACCAGATGTCTGAAGAATACCAATAGGCTATTAGTGCTGTGTTCTTTCTTTTTTTTAAATTCTTTCTCCATGCGCCCCCCCTTCTTCCTTTGCCAGCAAAAGCGTGCCTTTCAAAGTCCCTTGCTTATTTTAAAATTAGTTTTCATTCCATAAGCTCAAACCAGTTGAGCTGCAGGGGGCAAATGAGTCAAGATGTTTATTGTGCTAAATTTCCAGAAAAGTCAACTCAATTTAAAAATTGACCTCAAGTAATGAACAAAATTAAAAATCGTTAGATAATTATAAAACAGTAACAGTACTGATTCTAACACTGTCCAGAAAACACCTGAACACAGTATAAACAAACAAAAATGGAAAAATAATCCAGAGGGAGCATTTTAAAGTTCCAAATGTGACACAGGTCGACAAGTGTGGTTAGGAAACGTCTTACCGTCTGTTTTCTTGAGGAACTGGACGCTTGGTCCTTCTTCCTGCTTCTGTACTGAGATGGGTCATTTACAGTTGACGCAATGGAACTGAGGGTCGGGAATTGGGTGAGAAAATAAAGTGACCAGTATTCTCAAAATGCCAATCCCTTTCCCTTTCCCATGATTTAAAAAGACTATGAAAGCATAGAGTGAGTCGTTTCAGAGCGCGGCTTCTCACCAACCTTTCTCTGTCCTGGCCTTAGAGTAGAGGAAAACAGATTCCTCTCTCACTCTGGATTTTACTGTGGAGTTTTGTTGCCCTCAGGTTAGAGACTTCTGGACATCAACCCAAACAAGGGATTGGGGGAGACATCCCTCTACAGGGTCACATGAAAGAAGGAAAGTTAGAGAGGCAATATTGAAGGCACAACATTTTGTTTCATTTGGTGAAAATGATCTGGTGAGTTTAATATGTCTCCACCCATCCACCCACCTTTCTTTCCATTCATCCACCCACCCATCCGTTCACCTATCCACCCATCTACCCTTCCTCCCACCCACCCACACACCCTCTATCTACCCACCCAGATATCCACCAACTTCCATCCATCCATCCATCCATCCATCCATCCATCCATCCATCCATCCTTTTGTCCATCTATGAAGTTCATAATTTCTAAGTAATATTTGCCAAGGGATATATATTAATATATTTGTTTAAGATGATTTTTAATGACAGAAAGGCATTTATTTTTTAAATAGGTTAATTATTTGTATTTTATGTTCATCAGTGTTTTGCCTACATGTATGTCTGTGTGAAGGTGTCAGATGCCCTGGAACAGGAGTTACAGACAGTTGTGAGCTGCCATGTGGGTGCTGGGAATTGAACTCAGGTCCTCTGGAAGAGCAGCACGTGTTCTTAACTGCTCAGCCATCTCTTCAGCCCCCAAAAGGCATTTATGAATGAAGGTGAGTCTGGTTTTGCTACTTGAGAATAGCTTTTTAAATGATAGAATATGGCAGATAGTTTCTATGAGATGTATTGGCCAAATTCCTCACTGTTTCAAAGTTAAAAAATCTATCTGAAGAATTGACTTACAGCCACATAAGAATGCTCACTGTTGGTTTTAATAAATGGTGCTCTTACCATGCAAGAAAGGTGATGAGGTGCGACTAAACCCAGTATCAGAGCTTTATTGGGGGGGGGGGGAGACAGAAGAAAGTGTGGCCAGGACTGTTGGAAGAGACACGTGAGGAGAAGGGAGAGATGGAGGAGGAGGAGAGAGCAGAAGAGAAGGGAGGAGTCTGTGACCGGCTTTTTAAGGATTCCCCTGCACATGTGCACGTGGGCTTATGGAGCTACGCCACGCATGTGCAGATTGTGTGACCACACTGCGTGCATTGTGCAGTCATGCAGCACATGCATTACCCAGGACGTAAGACCCCTTTCTTGGCTACTGAACTGCCCATGTGCGATCATATAGCTGGAGGAGTGGCTGGAATCCTAACACTCACTAATTGTATTTATTTAAATTGAAGAAAAAGACACCAGCTTAAAATGTGTGTATATAGGCGTAGAGCTTCCTAAACGCATTCATTACACAAAGGATTCATTACCTACTGAAAATCAACAAGCTATAATAATGAACAGTGTGGATGAGCCTCACACACAATGTTGATTGACAGAAACCATAAATGTGCATAAACTGTGATTCCATTTTTTAAAAGCCAGAAACAGACAAAACAGGTTGCTGCGGTCAGGAGTCAGGCAGGGTCCTTGTTCCTGAGGAGGCGGCAGTGGCTGAAAAAATGCGTAGGGGCTTCCAAGTGCTGTGGTGCTCCAGCTCTGAACTTGGAGGTGATGATTTACAGATCTGTGCTCACTGAGTGAAAACTAGTACACAGTGTGACTATGGTTTGTGTGCATTTTGATAACAATTAAAAAGAAAACCCCAGAGGGGCTGAAGAGATAACTCAGCAGCTAAAAGCACTTGCTGCTCTTGCAGAGGACTGGAGTTGACTTCTCAGCAGCCGCTTGTGTGGTTCACAAGTATCCGTAACTCCAGGAGATATAACACCCTCTTCTGGGTCTCTTCAGAGGCTCACCAACACATAACATCACAACACACACACACACACACACACACACACACACACACACACACACACACACACACACGTTGCAGGAATCTTAAAAGTTCTTATTGATAAAATCAAACCCGAGGCCAGTTATTAGGGTGAATACTGGAAGGTCAGAGACAGAACAAGCCACAGCTATCTCACCTAGCCAATTCCTCAGCTGGTCCTGTTTCCTCAGACTGGAAGCTTCTGTGTCCTCATCCCAATGGCTCTCAGCTGAACTGCTGCTTAAAAACCTGAATGCTGAACCAGCCAAATGCTGAACCAGCCAAATCTTCTAGTTTCTGGTCCTCACGCCTTATATATCTTTCTGCTTTCTACCACCACTCCCTGGGATTAAAGGCTGGCTTTCTGGGATTAAAGGCGTGTGTCACCATGCTTGGCTATTTC